ACCCCTCCTTGGGTTTCCGAGGCAGTATCACTATGGAAGTAGGATTGCCCAACCTTCCTTCCGAGGAGTGGCCGGTGGGTTTGAACCACCAGCCTTCTGGTTAGCAGTCAAGTGCTTTAGCCACTATGCTACCAGAGCTCCTTCCAAAATAGTAGATACTATTTTTCTAAGTATATTTTTAACTAAGTTTACCAAAATTCAAAACCATTTATACATCTTTGTGATCAATGTTTAAATTAAATTGAAAAAGTACAATTCTTAATGGTATCCACAACACTCATACATACATTTATATATTCCCTTACGCCCTGCTCCCAAATTATGTTTGAAAACTAACATATGCACTATAGATGAACCAATATCTGCTTAATAGACTGAACAAGTCATATGCATTCACAGACATTTCAAAGGAACCTAGGGTTGGTTTAAATGTCTTTGATACCTATTCCTCCTTCCCTCTCTTAAGTGATATTTAATATTAACTTGGCTTAACAAATGTCCCTTTATCTCCTGTAACCCTGAAGCTCATTCACAAGGAAATGGGACTGTGTTGATTACATTAATGCACTATGAAATATAGTTGGTAATTGAAAATGTTATCTTCTGAAACTACACAAGGAAAATTAGCAAACCAACTTGAGATAGTATAGAACACATAGAAGATATAATTTACAAAGAAATATAGTGTTATATATTCAAATCTACATATTTGGCAAGGGCCAAATTCCATTCAATATTTCAAAACTGTATTCCTCAATTGTCTGTATAATTTATATCGTGACAAGACAAAACAACAAAATTAAAGTTTCTATATTATTAAGAAAAATGTATTCTTCCTAAAATCAAAAAGGAGAAAGACTCATCTTTGATGGCCTTTTATTCCTTTGAGGAATTTTTCTTTCAACTGCAGCAACCACCTCTCCCTCAATGCCTAAGGTTTCCTTGAGAGTTTTATCCCCAGCATGGTGATCACAAAAATCCTGAGAAATTGTTTACTATGTCTTGTACTGATTATGGTGTACTTTAGGAAGAAAGCATCGTCTGTAATAGGCTGATATGAATCCCTTTCAACTCTACCTCCTCTCATCCACATTATGCAAGGAAAACTGATATTTGGAAATAAACTATTTGTCAAAAAGGAATTTTTAAAAGAAGATTTGGAAGCATTATGGTTTCTTTTTTTCCAATTTGTACTGGATAATGGAAACTACTGAACAAACATATCTTGTTTACCCTTTTGGAATCTGGAAACCACACGACAAAAGATGAAAATGAAGGAGTAGAGGGAGAAGAAAGGCTGATGATCTGTGTACTGCTGGAGAAAGTTGTTTCTTTAAGAGGGATTTGGCAGCTCAAACAACTGGAATGTAAGCCAGACACCTTTCTATTTCTTTCAAAAGAAGCTGGCAACAAAGACGGGGACTTGCAAGGCACCTGGTCTGGGACAGAATACTTAGAATCAGCTTTATTTGCAGCTTCATAAGTAAAAGGGAAATTTGTGTATGTCTTGGCAGGCAGCAAGAGGAAATGAGCCACACCACGTACTCTCCTTGCCTGCTCTGGACTTCACTCCTCCACAGGCACACTGGAGTATGTATTATTTATATAATACCTCATTATTCTCAAAGTACCTTATCATTACTTCATTACAGGAACCCTGGTGGCAACATGGTTAAGTGCTTGGCTGCTAACCAAATGGTCAGCTGTTTGAACTCACCAGCCATCTACGAAGAAAAGATGTGGTCATCTGCTACTATAAAGATTATAACTTTGGAAGCTCTACAGGGCAGTTATAACATGTCCTCTACACTAAGAGTTGGAATTGACTGGATGGCAATGAAGATTTCATTTCATTATCCCTGAGGCAGGGAAAAAAAAAAAAAAAAACACTGCCACTGACAACTCTGTGTAAGACAAAGTGAAGCTGCTTCACAGGATTTCCAAGGCTGTACAGAATCAGACTGCTTCATCTTTCTTCTGCGGAGCAACTGGTGGGTTTGAACAGTGAACCTTTCAGTTAGTATCTGTATGCTTCACCCACTGAGTCAGCAGAGCCCCTTTAGAGGCAGGTGATAGGGGGAGTAATATACTGTGTTAAAACTTAGACTAAATCTCATAGAGAACACACAATTAACAATCATGTTAAGTGAAAAAATAGCAGTAGTTAAAATTTATTGAATACCTAAAAACTATCAGACCTTCTTCAGAAGTTTCCAGACATCATTCTCTGTAATTCTCACAACATCCCAGCAAGATCTTTCTTATGTTCATATTACAAAGAAACTGAGGCTAGCACAAATTACGTAACTTGTTCAAGTGACATGCCTTAGTCTGACTTGAAGACTTATGCTCTTTATAATTTTTTCTCTGTAGCCTGAGGTTTAAGAGCTCTGGTGGCATAGTGCCTAAGACATTTGACTGGTAACCAGAAGCCTGGAGGTTCTAACCCACCAGCCACTCCTCAGAAGGAAGGTTAGGCAATCTACTTCCTTAGTGATACCGCCTTGGAAACCCAAGGAGGGGTCGCTGTGAGTCCAATTGACCCGATGGCAGTGAATTTGGTTTTTATACATAAATCTGGCAGATATTTCTACGTATTTATTTGTATGTGCTATAAGAACGTCTGCATATATAACAGAGCTAAAGGGACAAAGTTACGACAACTTCTTAGCCGTAGCCAAACACCCTTAGGGAGCGAGTTGCTGGGCCCACAGGTTTAGGACTGTAATCACGGGGATATCAAACTCAATTGGCATAACATACTATATAAAAACATTGTTCTACATCCTACTTTAGTGAGTAGCAATGGGTAAAAAGCTTACAAGCGGCCATCTAAGATACAACAAATGGTTTCTCCCCATCCAGATCAAAGAATGAAGAAAACCAAAGACGCATGGAAGCAATTAGTCCAAAGGACTAGTGGATCATGTGAACTTCAGCCTACATGACCATGAGACCAGAAGAACTAAATGGTGCCCTGTTACCACTGTCAACTACTGAGAAAGGGATCAAAATATTGGATCCTGGGTAAAGTGGGAGAAAGTGTGAACCAAAACCCAAAATCATAAAAAAGATCAGGCTTACTGATCTGACAGAGACTTGTGAAACCCCTGAGACTATGGCATATAATGACCCTTTGGGCCTGAAATTAAACATTTCCCCTGGCTTCCAGTCAAACAATAGACATGTAAGGTGAACATTTAAACCAGGAAGGTACACTCCTTAGAACAATCAACCATGGGAAACCATAATGGCAACATTTGCACAGGGAAATAGAGCTCATAAATAATCAACACATAAATAAATAAATATATATATTAGCTACACATCAAGTTTCTTGATTTTAATGGTAATAGAGGCCAATCATGATAATCACATTTAATTTTTTTCCCCTTAAGCCTGAAATAATTTTTTATTTAAAGATTTAGAAGAGTATTTTAAGAAATTTAACAAAAGGAAAAACTATATATATGTGTATATATGGTCACTATGAGGCACTATTGACTTGATGGCCATGCAACACACATATACTCTCTCTCTCTCTCCAGTTTAGAAAGGGAAAAGAAGATATCTAAATCTATATGGTGCAGTGAATTACTTAATATGACCTTTCCAGCCATAGTCTTTGTAACTCCCACCATGCAGCTGGATGGTACTTTGGAAAAGTGAGGTGCTTTGGGCCTACATATGGAATTGGGTAGCTTGTTAATGATATGAATAAGGTGTATGGCACCCGGGGGGGGGGGGTAGTACCTGGAAATAAGGTACATGGAACCTTAAAATGGGATTGGTCAATTTTGTTACTCCACTAGGCTTAAAATAAGCCATCCCAGAGGCAGAAAGGGGGCATCTCAATAGCATGAAGAAAGAAGAACCAGGGGTAGAGTAAGTTCTTTGGACCCTAGATTCCTGCACAGAATTTCTTTGATCAAGAGACAGAGAGTTATGACACCAGAGATAGCAAGAAGTGGTGGCAGAGAAACAGTGGCACCAGAAACAACAAAACAAACAGAACCAAGAGTCTGGTATGAGACAGAGCTTTGAGCTTCTTGGTCCATGGAGTATGAAAGCTGAGTGCCTTTGCTTAGAAGTCTTGCTGATGGAGTAGGATGCATCTCTGGGCATTTATTGTCAGAGCTAAAAGAGCTTTGTGATGTTTCCCTGATCAAGGCTGAAGCCAAGAGATGTATGCCTGCAGAATGGCTGAGAAGAAGCTGTCCTGACTAAAGAACTGCATTCTGAGTTGTTTCTGATACTGAATTATAACAATTAACTTCCCTAATAAACCCCATAATCATAAGTATTGCTTGTGAGTTCTGTGAGACAACTGCAATGGGTTACTGAATGTAGCAGAGAAATAGAGAGTACCATGGGAGGG